ATTTAAAAAATAAATAATGTAAATACAATTTTATTATTAGTGACTATTATTAACCATTGTAGTTGATATTATAAACAAYAATTAAACGATTAATATACATATATAAATATATTTAATTAGCATCTATGAGTAGTATYTATATATTTATTGCTTATTTTGTAGATATTAATTTAGTATAATATTACCATTCACATTATTATTTTTCTGTTAAAATATATCATAAATTTGTATTATTAGTATAGGTAGGTACATATAAAAACATAGTATGTATATTAGTTATATTACTATTGTAATTATTTTGAACCGAAATGTATAGTTTATTTAGTTTATTATTATAGGTATAATACACTTATGTTGTTATGTATGTAAATTGTATATAAATCTTTGTTGATATTTTAAAGGCGGGAAAAATACCTTCAATATCTACCTAGTATATCAGTGGTAAATACAAATATTACAATCATCACAAATAACTAATAGCCATTTTAAATATATGTTTATATAATTATGTATTATTATTATTTATGCTTAAATATATTATATACATACGGACTGATCGATAAGTATAAGACTGCCATTATCATCGTTGTCGATAAGAGACATGGAAGCAATATCGTCTTTACCACCGGGCCTCGTATTCAGCCAATTGTGTAAGCCGTGTTCAGCTGAAAATAGTGATCAATATCATTATCAAATTTGGGATCGCGGCTGTACGACAGATTTAATATACAACACACAAGTATACAACACGTTCGGGTGTTGCGTGCTCTCAAGACTATAATATTGTATAATATAGGCTATACCAGCTACCAGGGACGCCCGGAGGGAGGGGCCAGTGGGGGCCATTGCCCCCCCTGAGATTTTTCGTGTCAMTTACGAAATTGGAAGTTTTTTTACATAAAGTTGATCTTGAGCGACTATTCGACAATCCTTGTATCTAACAAGTCATATAGGAGGTATTTAATCGCAATAACGATTATTTTCAATACTTTTGGCTGGTTAGGCGTAATTGCCGAAATCTTGTATGAAAAACATAAAAAAAATTTGTTTGCCCCCCCTGAGCTGCATCTCTGCGGGCGTGCCTGCCAGCTACTTAGTACTTACTGAACGCGAACACTAGCAATACTACAGCCAGAGTAGTCGATTTCCATCCAAGTCTTGGGGCACCAAACCTTCGCATCGAAATTTCTACTGACCTCCAGTCTTGCATCAGCTTAGGCCATTTCTTAGCTAATTTTATGAACATCCACAGTGCACAACATGCGTTACCATAAAATATACTTCCCGACGTGGCTTTCTTTATACCCCCTGCGGCATTGTTGTATATTATTTTAGAAATAATTGTAAATAATATTATTAATTAATAATTATTATTAATTATCATATTATCACTAGCTGCAATAGTAAATTCCAACTCCTAACCTGACTTGTGTACCGACTATTGAGATTTAAACAACAGCGCTCTATTTATTATATAGGTAAATTATTCTGAATTGTGAAAGTGAAAATTAAAATTAAACATCCCCATAATTTTAAATAAATGATTTTCACTGATATACAGATATACATTTGTGGTTTTTAATAATTTACCCAACGGGCGTCCATTTATACTTAATACCTATAGCCAGGTTAGGTCATATTATAGGTACCAAAATAATATAATTATGTATAATATATATTGGTGTAGAATTATATAGCACGTGCCTTTCGCTGTTAGATTATCTTGGTTCAAATTCCTTATGGTGTAGTCTAACGAGAATATCTCTATGGACACGAATCCACAGAACAGGAGAATCGAGTAAATAGCTATAGGATAATACCAACAAAACGTTAATTTGTAGACATCTCGTCGGTATATGCCACTGACTGGGAATACGCCAAAGATTGACGCAAACGTCAACACGTACCGAATGTAGTAATGAACTCCGGTCCTAAATCGTTGATTTAAACATTACAAAACGAGTTCAATTAATAATTACTCATAATAATCACATATATGATATATCACATATAAATATTTAGACACAAGTAGCAATTAAAACTTTACCGTAATACTGTGTAATATATATACAATATAATTTATGTATTATAATGACATAATGTGCCAATTGTGACAACAATGTCTTTATATAGTTGTTATTAGGATTCGTAGCCCA